TCCTGCATGTATTGCATGTTTGCATTTGAAGGGTTGGAGGTAGAACACTTGATGACCCTATTCATACACAATTCTTTCGTAGATTCGCACTGAAAATAAGGTTGTGGACATTTACAATGTGATCGGCCCACATTACAATCATCATGATAAGGAAGCGCATCTGTTCACCTTAAGTCAGTTCAGAAAGATTGTTTATGACAGAGTGTTTTCCAAGCTGGTTGTTAGTAGTCATATTGTAAAAGCCGGTTTCTATCGAAAATCAAGCAAGTGGGTGTTCTTTTAAACATGCAAATTGTGTCGACTGTCACGATCTCGTGTGGTAACGTGTCCTATGGTCGGACAACCCGCTGACTGAATGAAAACTTCCTGCCGTCTAGCCGTGTGCCTTCACTCGTAACCTTTTATGGATTACCGCGTAATTGAATTGTGCGGGAAAACTCGAAAAATTCTCCGTTTTTGATGAGCAGCCTTGGCTGTGGACAATATGGAATGTCCAGAGTAGACTGCAGTTTCGTGGCCTATAAGAGAGTGGGAATAAACCAAGCACACTCAGCCTCTCCTGGTAAGACAAATGCTGTAGACCATCGTCCATATCTGTCGCTCTGCTTTGCAGCTGTTCGAGTAAATCAATATCCCTCCTCATCCATGGTGAAGCCGCTGGCATTTCACACTCCAGATGGGGTCTTAGAAAGATGCCAAAAAGTCTTTCGAAGAGTTCGAGAGGGGATATTTTAAATGCACATATGATTCAGTACAGAGTACTAGTTGCCTCCTGGGCCATCTTTCTACAGTGTTCTGATGGCATTAGATTTCTGGTCGTCCATACACACAGGCCCCTGTGTCTCTCCACAGTTTCTAACGCCGTTCCGTTAACATAGTACTTGTGTTTGGGAGAGGCATTTCGGTCGGTGTTTAGGCGTAAGACTACGCATTTTAATTAATTTAATTTAATTTATTAAATGCCAGTTTACAGGCATTGTCAAGGGAAGCGATTAAAAACAAATCCGACCAGCAGTGAAAAAAAACTCCTGAGGAATAAAAATATAGTTGATGGTGGTTTTCATTGTTTGGAGAGTTCAGGAGAAAAAAATGCTGTCGGTAGATTTTCGACCGTCAGGAAGGGGGGGGGGGAGGGGGTTGCACGGTATCGGAGATTATCAGACGTCAATTCCTTTCATGAAGTTGGGGATAGCCAAAGTAGAGGCGTTGAGGAACAGCTGGTGAGACCGGCCATAGTGTTCAGAGACCACAAACGCCATCGCTACGGTAGAATCGATCAGTGGATTCAGCACCCAAAATTTGAGGAAGTATTTCTGAATGCAAAAATCGAGTAATAGTTCTCATAAATAAAGGATAATTTTGCAGTTTTCACACTCATGGGTAGTTTATTCCAAATAGCAATTGCATTAACAGAAAAGAACCGACGATATTTAACAGTACGTGCCAGAGGCAGAAATTAGAAGACCTCACGGTGACGGTTACGTTGTGGGTGGATATGATGTCTTAAAGAGGTGAGTGGGTTAAATGTGTGATTATATAAGAGTTTAAATAGCAAAAATAGTCCCTTTTGTAATCTACGGAACCATAGAGGATCAAGGCCCGTAACCCGGCAACGTTCTTGGTAAGACAAATGTCGGTGTTCCGCAGCTAAAATTCTCTTGGTAAAAAAGTGTTGAACGGATTCTATCTTCTTCCGCTCAGTAGCACGCATGAGGCTAAATAAAAATGAACAGTATTCCAGACCAGGTCTAACGTACATGTTGTCAAGGCGCATTCTGATGTCCCAAGTTTTAAAGTTCTGGAGGATAAACCCGGTCGTTCTACGTGCTTTGGAGACTAACAAGGCACAGTGCTCCGAGAGATTGATACTCTTGGAGTATGATATGCCAAGATCCTTACTAAGCCCGGCCACATTTATGGCGTGACCTTCAATATTTAGATGAGGTTGGTGGTCGTCGCCAACCACAATGACTGAGCACTTATGCCAAGAAAGAGAAAGGCGCCATGTGCGGCACCACTGGGCGAAAGCCTGTAGATCGCTTTTAGGAGCTCAAGCACGATGCCACGATCTGCCGGCTTATATCGATATGCAACTTTAAGATCATCGGCATACATTAAAGGCTTACCATTCTGAAATAAATCGGGTACATCATTAACGAAAAGGCAAAATAAAAGCGGGCCGAGTACACTACCCCGAATGTCTCCACTCCTCACACGTGTGGGGTTGGAGATAGTATTGGAAATCTTAACTCGTTGTGTACGAGTGCCCAGGTAAGAGGATATAAAATTCAAAAGTTTGCCACCTATTCCGAAAGAGGACAGTTTCAAGAGAAGAAGAGCATGGTCAACACGATCAAAAGCCTTAGTGAAATCGAAATATACAGTGTAAAGTGCAAAACCATTGTCCCTAGATTGGAGAACATAGTCAAAGAAAGAGAGTTGACAGGTGTCACAAGATCGAGCTTAGAGGAATCCATGCTGAGCAGCACTCAGTAAGTTATTCACTGTTAAGTAACACATCAGTTTATAGATAGATAGATAGATAATTTTTATTAAAGACCCGTCGGGGTCCCATCAAAGCAAGTAAAAATAAATTTGCATGCGAGTTTTAGACGAGGTAGGCCGAATCTTTACAAAATGCAATTCATAGTTTCCGAATT